TATAGTATAATTTATATATATCTATCTATATATATATATATATATATATATATATATATATACATGTTTCTTAAAGTTTATTAATTAGGGTGTAAGTTAATTATGACAGATTGTTTTTCAGTATAATTATGAATTATAACCGTGAAGCATACGGAGAAACCTAAATCCCAACAAAGCAATTATGAAGCATATTGAAGGAAACCTGAAGCAGGTCCATGTACCCAAAACTAACATATAAAGGAACCCTGAACTGAGCCCATGAGCCTAAAATTTTAGGGTTCATTTCTGCTGGAGTCAGAAGCAGAAAGCCCTGATGTCTTGAAGCCTCCCTGGCTTGTTCCACTACTAGAAAGATCGCCATATCTGAACATTCTTACAATGTAATTCAATAGATGAAAAGCTACCACAGTTTTTTTAAGACAAATATTAATTACACTACAACAAAAGTTATATGTGTCCACGCTTATTTTATGACACATATAAAAGTGTCATTTTATTTACAAAGAATTAAACAATGGCGACACAAATAAAAATTGTAGCAAATCACGACACATATTTGTATCATTAGATATACAATTAAATATAAGTGAAAAAAGCTAATAGTTCAACACGAATTGTGAGAGAATATATTGATGTTCTTTAATAATAAATCTTACATTTTAATTATGATAATGACTAAACACTTATGATAGTGTATAAGCTAAAAAACTCTGTTGTTAAGCGTGCTTTGATGAGAGTAATCCTAGGATGAGTGACATTCTAAGAAGTCAGAGTGTTAAATGGCTATTCTCTTTATATTTTTATGGTCTGAACACAACTATGTGTATCACCATTCTTAACACATGTATGTGTTATGAGTTTTGTGACACGTGTATGTGTTAAATGGTTATACACTTTATTTTTAATGGTCTAAACACAACTGTGTCATCACTTTCGACATATATATGTGTCGTGAGTTTTGCGACACATTCTCAAGTGTAGAAACGCTCTTCACACATGCTCTAACCACACTTTTGATATGTGTTGTGCTCTATTTGTGCGACACAAAAATGTGTCACGTAGAAATAAAAAATGTATCATAATTTATAACTTTTATTGTAGTGATAGTAGAATAGAAACTGTGAATAATTTCTTTAACAACAACAGTGTCACAAAAAAGAAAGTAATAACACGTAATCAACTGATCAGTGATCAGCACTTTAGGTAGTTTTAAGGTACAGAAGTTCTCTTAAGCTTTCTTGGGGTAGGATATATCAGTATCAAAAGCTGCATGGATCAAGAATCTGCTGGTCCTCCATATCTGAACATTCATATAATATAATTCAACAGATGAAAAGCTACCAGAGTTTTTTTAAGACAATATTAGATATTAGGAAAGAAAATGTGAAGCATTTCTTTTAACAACAATTAATATTGTGACGAAAAACAGAACAACTACGTGTGTAATCAATTGCTCCTATAGGAAGTTCAAAATACAAAAGTTTCCTTGAGCTTTCTTGGGGAGGAAATATCAGTATCAAGAAGCTGCATGGATCTTGCATGTGGTAATTTGATGAGCTGCCGAACATTCTTGAACTCAAGGGGAACTATGGCATGTGACTGATAACTCTAGAAGGTTGGAAAAGAGTGATGGGAAAAGGGTAATGTTAGGTATTACATTTAGAGCAAGCATGGAATCAAAGTTTTGAGTTTGAGAAAGCTTACTGATGTAATGGATCGGTTAATGACGGAGAAAAGTTACTGACCATCCGAAGAAGAAAAATAATACTAAACAAGTCAGGTAAAGGTTCTGAGTAAAAATCCCATTGTTAGGCAATGCATACACTGGTCATATGACTAAAAATCACTTTCCTTGGCTTAATTATTAGTCTACAGAATATATAATGTAGGATATCTAAACTGCATGCTTGTGGAATTTAGCTGTCATGCCTGGCTTGTGTTAAGACAGTAAAAGGTTAAGCCATTGATTAATCATGATCTAGGACTCATAAGTGAGAAGTATATATTTTCTCTATAAAAACCACAACAACCTCCTACTTTCTCCACCATCCCCAGCTCTAGAAAATATCTAGTTTGTCTCCCTCCCCTTTTTCTCTCACCTCCCTCTCCTATAACCATGGCAGAGGAGGAAAAGAGAACAAGCAGCAGCCAGGAGGCTGAAGTGAGGAAAGGACCATGGACTATGGAGGAAGACCTCATCCTTATTAACTACATAGCAAGTCATGGCGAGGGTGTTTGGAATACACTTGCGAAATCAGCAGGTATTCATTTGACATGTTTTTTTTTTTTTTTT